CAGCCGAAGGGAAGTGGGTAATTGCTGGAAGGGGGTCGAGAGAGGAGGAGTCCAACACATGCATAGGATGACATGAGAAGTTAGGAGATGGTGAAATGAAAGATTCGTGAAATGCACCTTTGCCTCGGAAGGGCGGAAGGGAGGAACGCAACTCTGGACAACGACAATTGTTAGATGTCAATGGTTCTGAGTTGTTCAATGGGGGCAAAGTAGGAAGGACAGAGGAGGAAACGGTTGGCGTGACAGACATGAAAGACAGGTTGAGAATGAACGCAGAGAAGGGCGTAAGTGGGTTGGGGCGAGAATCAAATAGGAAAAATACCTTCGAATCAGATAATATAGATCTATATAGGATGTGATGTATGATAAGAGAGAGGGATATAGATATATTAGGTAATATAGATATATATAAGGTATGTCTTGGCTACTAAAACCGTACCATTGCTAAATGTACCAATTGAATAAAACAGGCGTACGCGCGTTTAGTCAAAACCCTATATAAATGATATATATATATAATAAAAATCAGAATATAATATATAGTAGATATAATAAGTAGATATATATATATGTGCAAAACAGGAGTCGGTTCGATTCATTAGGATGATGCCTAGTGAGTTAACATGTATTAAGAAGTAAAAAAATCAAATTGGTGTGTGCCATCACATTTGATGCTTGAAACGGATTGACTCCTGAGTTATGAATTACAATAATTTTAATGAAAAAGTTATAAAATGTTTGTAGATTGTAAAGTCTAATACATTTTATTTTAAAAGAGTTAACACAAGAACACAGCTAAATCAAAAGAGTAGGGTGAAATTGAAATATAGGTTCCAATATAATATAATAAAGATAATATAAGAGAATGATAAAATAATATAATACATTATAAATGATATCAGATAATATAATCAATAACATAATAATTTCATATTTATTGGTAAAATTGATGATGATAATTGTTTATACATGTTACAAGTAAAATATTTTCATAATATTGAGAAGTTAAGTTTTATAATAACGAATTTTGGTTTGTGGTGAAAGGTTTTCTAAAACATTTTACTAATCCAGTATTTATTTAGAAAACCCATTAATGGATTTAAAAATTAAATGAATTTGTGAAAAAATTTCCTAATTAGTAGTGCTCCACCCTTGGGTTTCTAGATTTTTTTGTGGGTGGAACAAACTAAGATCTTCTGGAAAAGATCTGGTTGGTGATGATGTGTTATTTTGTAAAAAGGTTTCCAACATTAAAAATACTACTATACTGATGGAATGAATCCCATTACGGTGGCAGGTAATCACTCGTCCATCCTAGCATTTGAATCCTTTCTGCTCTTGTCTTCATCCAGGTAACTGCGTTTATAGGTTGCCAGTAAAGGACCATGTCAAACAAAATCCATGGAAGAAGTTGGAACCCGGCGGAGTGGGGATTTAAATTAAGGTTTCGTTTTTTCTTGTAGATGGCAAAAGCAGATGAGTATGTGATCGTATTGAAAAGTCAAACGAGAATGAAAAGAAAAGTATGTGAGCTGAGACTAAACATGAACAGTCACAACCGAATATGCGGGTGCCAGATACAGTAACCACCATGAATGCAATGGGTAGCCACTGCTTGTGATGTTGTAACTAGTATGCAAAGTTAACAGCTGTCTGAGTGGGCATTGGTTATTGGCTGTTTAGGCCGATTTTGGATAATGGGCTATGATTTGTTCCTAGCATAATCCGCGTTTAATTTAGTGGCACAGTTATGTCAACATATGCAGTATCTGAGGAGAACAAGAGGCTGATTATGGCATATATTGAAAAACATGAAACTGCAGGAATTGAACTATTGCCCAGTAAGTATCGGACCCACTATGATAGGTATCTGAGCTATTGTGTTAAGGAATTATGTTGTGATGAGACATGCTGATCTAGTATTGTATTGTTCGTTGATTTAACCCTCTGGTGTGTGAATTCAAGCTCTGTGACAGAAAACAGGACAGGTTCGCGAAGTTTGAGTGATTTTCTAATATAGATGTTGTGACATTGTTTGGTGCTGTGGATGGTGAATGTCTTAGGTACCAGAGCAACCTTCAAGAATTGAATGTAATTTGAGCGCGCTTGCTGCTGGCAACATGCACACTCCCAGTTGATGCCTCGACGTAAGACATTACACCCAGTATGATAAATTTCCCGATGACGCCGCCTTATCTACGCCTGTTTGATGACCATGATTTTGGCACTGCAGCAAATGAGGATGCAACCAAATACGGCATGCAGCCCCGCAGGGGGCAGCACGGGATGACAGCCAAGGTCCCCGCTAAGATGCATTGCGAGGGCTAGCCAAGAACACTCCACCAGCAGGAGCAGGGAGAGGGTGGATGCATAGGTATGGAGCATCCATGGATGGTGAGAGGGGTGTGGAGGTGCAAGAATGGCGCCTCAATGCAACTGCAAGCCCAAATGATGCATGTGAGGGAAGCTTGCAAGCACCTTCTCATGGTGGAGATGGCCAGGGAAACAACTCAGTTCTTCTGCATAATCATAATAATATTACTTCATTTCGTCTTCAGAAATAAATACCGATTTATTCTATAATCAAACTTTCATATAGAAAAATCTTTTAAGTTCATTTGATATTATGTTTTCTTTTTCCTTTTTTTTACGATATTAATGTAACATTTTTTTTTCTGTTTTTCTTCAAGTTTCGAATTTTTTTCACCAATGATATAACATCCATGTTTTATTTCTAATTTTTCTCTTATACAAGATTAAACAACCCTTTTATTTTCATGTTTTATTCTAATTTATTTCTTAATAAAAGAATCTGTTAATAGTCATGAATAAATTATTCAAATACTATACGCGCAAATGTACAAAAACAAAACTATTCATTGTAATATAATATTGTAAAAGGTAAGATGGAATAACTACAACACGACCACAGATTTGATTCAAACCGTACTAACTTGGTATTAGTAAATAAAAAAATAAAAAAATATTTCTTCCATAATAAAGTTGTAAAAAAAAATGAAAAAAATTAGAAAAATGAGAGAAAATAGTATAAAACGGGAGAGTAAAGAAAGAGGCGCGTGTGAGAGGGAGAGTGGAAATGGTGTGTGTGGAGAAGAAGTTTGGTTTTGTGAAGTGGAGTTGATTTGATAGATTGCTATGGTTCGAGCGTCGGTGAAGTTGGGTTCGGCGAAGTTGGTGGTGATCTGCGTGGGCCTATTGGGTTTTGCTCTCGTCGCCGATTTTCTATGGGCCTCTACCTCTTCCACGCTTCTCACTTCCAAACCCTCCACATTCGTCGTCCCTGACAAGAAAAATCACAAAAATGTCACGGCTTCTGGAAGGTTCCTCGCCGCCGCTTACGCCGATTTGGATGCGCCCAACCTCCACTGGGAGAAGATGGCTCAGTGTCCCGTTCCTCGCCTTGACGGAGCCGCCATTCAGATTCGCGATCTCCTATTCGTCTTCGCCGGTTACGGCACCATCGATTATGTAACCGACTGCTCTCCTTTCGCTTTTAATCTCAACTGCTGTCTTCGTTACTATTCTAATGATTGCGGTTCGTCTCTTTGTTTGGTTTCAGGTGCATTCTCACGTTGATGTGTACAATTTTAGTGATAATACTTGGGGAGGGAGATTCGACATGCCGAAAGAGATGGCGCATTCGCATTTGGGAATGGTGACCGATGGTAGATACATTTATGTCGTTACTGGACAGTATGGCCCGCAGTGCAGAGGTCCCACTGCTCGTACGTTTGTGCTCGACTCTGAAACCAGGAAATGGCAGGACCTACCTCCTTTGCCGGTACCTAGGTTTGTGTCATGCTTCAAATTAATCTTTCCCTTTGCAATTAAGTTGCTGCTGAATGAATTTCGTTATTTTCCCCCTTTTGTTCTTTGTGTTGCTCAGGGGTGGTGGAACAAAATACTAGTAGTAGATCTTGGTCTCCCTTAGATGTTGTTATTGACAATCATTCACAACTTTTCTGGATCCTGCACACAGTGGGAACCTTATTACATGGGGTTGGGTTGTCCTGATTAGTTACATGGGGTTGGGTTGTCATTATGTATATCTTTTTTTTTTCTCAAATAATGATAATTTTTTGCAAGTTTAATCAATTAGTTTATATTCTTTCCAATATACTAAGAGTTTTGATATATCTTACCAGTTGAGATTAGTGATAGTTTATAAACACCTTATGTCCTTAACACATTGGCGTACTTCTTCGGGCATAGAATGGTGACGGAACCACTAAACGCCAAGTGGACAATAATACTTTGGAGAGGTGACTCTAATGAAACATAAAGAACAGATTCAGAGGAAAGGGGAAGGATCTGGTCAAACTCACTTTTTCCCACCTTCTTTCTTGGTTTCCTGTGTGCCTGTATTGCTTTTGGATGATGCACAAATTTTCGTCACAGTCAAGAGTTTATAG